AGTCAGGAGTCTTCAAGTCATTACAGTACTTTAATTTATAAAATAATTCAGAAAAATTGCAAAAATCATAGAATGTCTTTACGTACTGATTCCATATAAATGCTAGAGTTAGAAATGCAAAGAAATAAATATAACTTTCATATTCAGGATCAGCTCAGATGTACACTGAAGATGTTTGGTTCCACTGCTGAACTGCTGTAATTAATAAGCAGATTTGTCTAATATTATCCAGAATTGATTGTTGTTGTTGTTTTCTTATTGTTGTTGTTATGTGTGCTGTGTTCTGGATAATGGTAGAACAGGACTTGGCCTTTTCAAGTACCTTCTTTTCAGGTATTTGAAAAGTGTCAATGGCCTCCCCAGGCATCAAGGATAAAAAATACCCCGTTTCTATAGTTCTTCCATGTAAGATTTTTAATGACAAGGTTCAAATTCTCCAGTCATCATTATCCTACACTAATATGGAAAAAGATCCTACACTGACCATACAAAGGAAACTGGTTGTAGGAGGAGTGGCAGAATTTGGGGGTAGAGTTAAAAGACGGATCATCCTACATAGCCAAAAGCAGTTCTAAGTCCAACCCTCCTTGGATTCTGTTAACCTTTATCTAACTCCAAGTAGGTGCTAATTGTTAACTGAGAAGATTCCTGTGCGTAGGCAATATAAATCGGTTTAATATGACCTTCAGCGTGAACCTGGTTTTTCACACTTGATATGGTTGTTTTAATAGTTAAAATGAATATATAAATAACAACCCAAACTATTTTATATTAGATTTACAAAAGAAACTTGTTAAAGTTTTGAAGAATTTTGTAAGAAGGGATAAAGAAAAAGGAAAATAAATCAAGTTGTAGGACGTTTTTTGAGGGGATCAAAGAGATTAAGAATAAAGGGAAAGAATATAAAATTGGTTTAGTTGATTAATATTAAAATATATATATTGTGAACTTTGGTAAACCTAAATTGACTTTTGCTGATCAGGACTGAACAAGAAGACTTTAAATATTTGTTTGTGGATGAGAGATGAAAGATGGGGAGAAAATATCATTTGTTGTAATTTGAGAAAGGTGATACGTTACAAAAATTGTTTATACTTGCGATGAGCGGGGAGGAATCATTTCCTTACATATTTTTTTTTTCTTTGCCAAAAATGCCAAAGGACTTTCAAGAACATTTGATGGCCAATAAACTTCAGTTCAATTAATTTTTCCTAAAGAATAATATCAAAATTGGAAAAAAAACACCTTTCTAATCATTGTATCAGTGGTGGCTAACCTTTTTGGACTCCTATGCCACAAATTGTGCTCACGCTTACGTGCCAGCACCCAGAAGGCAATGCGTGCCTCCTCATCCCCTGCACATGCACACGTGATCCCCCCCTTACCTGCACTGCGCATGTGCATGCTTCCCAGCTGATTTTTTGGGCCTTTTTCAGCCTCCCAGAGGCTCGAGGGAAGCTTCTGCAGCCTTTGGAGGCCGAAAAAAATACAGGAAGTGATGAAACGGGCCTGTTTTTCAGCCTCCAAAGGTGTTTTTCAGCACATGCACAGTGAGGTAAGTTTGCCTGGGGCTCGCGTGTCCACACAAATGGCTCTGCGTGCCACCTGCATAGGTTCACCATCACGGCACTATATTATAAAGATTTTTCTTTCTATTCATTCTTAATGCCCTACAGCAGAAATAATTCATTCTTTCAAGCTGCCTTCCACGTGAAGGCCATGTTATTATAAAATACAATAGTCTGCTGTAATATACTTATGCTGTATGGTTAAGGACATAGGCAGGAAAACCCAATAATGAACATATAAAGGAAATCTATAGTCACACATAATTTCTTACAACAGTGTATGTATATGAAATGGAATAAATCTAGCATCAATTTTTCTGGTGTACACCACATAATGAATATACCATGTCTAGGATGGTTGGAGATTGAACATATTGGGTTAGAGTCCAGGCCAATTTGGAGAATTATTCAGTTGATTTCTTTATAGCCAAACATGACAAAATTAAGAAAATGTTAAAAATTAAGAAAAAAAAAAATACTAACTAAAAACACATTAGAATCTTAGCATTCACAAAATATAAAGATTATACTTGGAAGCATATTTCAAGACATTTAGTTAGCACTGTAAAGTTCTACAAACACAGGTCATGCCCTCAATAGCAAATAGCCTTAATTGATACTTTTCAATCTTGACAACTTTAAGATGTGCTGATTTCAAGAATTTCCCAGCTTGCATGTTGACTTCGGGGTTTGCAGTCCGCAAATCTTAAAGTTCTCAAGGTTTTGAAACACTGGTCAACATGATGGGTACATTTTATCATTCAGGCACATCTATTTTTAATCAAGTTACTTTCTTAGGTTGAATCTTCAATTTCCACTGCAACTACTACAACTTACTGCTTATCATGTTTTTAGAGTTTGAAATGGGGTAGAAACATTTTTTTTAAGTCATCATTTTTCTTTCACTGAGCTACCCACTTTACTGCTTTTTTTTTAACCAGTTTGCCAGTGGACCGTTTCACCATTCTTGCTGTCACTTGAGGTAGGAGGTTTTCACCCCAGCTCCTGAACCAAATGGATTTACCTAGGGCTGGACAAGTAAGTAAGTAAGTAAATAAATAAATAAGGGCCAGCATTTTAATGGTCCACTGGTGGACAAGTTTTTTTTTTCCCCAAGTGAAAATGCTCAATGAAAAAGAAAATTAAGACTAAAAAAAAGTTGTTTCTACTTGGTTTTGAACTGGTAACCCTTGCCTTGTGAGGGAAACGTGGTGATTGGAATCCTACTATTGTAGGAATACCTGCAGTAGAGATTAGGGGAAAAAAAGGTCATTTATTTTAAATCTACTCCTTCATGTGCATTTTGATGCTTTAATTCTTTTTCACATCTTTTAAAAATAGTAGTAAGCAGAAGCCAAGGATTATTTTGATCCTGTGGATGAATAAGAAGCTGTAGTCACATCATAGTCCAATTCTTGATTTACAATCATTTGTTTAGTGATCATTCGAAGTTACAACAGCAATGAAAAAAGTGACTTATGATTGTTTTTCATACTTTCGATTGTTGCAACATCCCTAAGGCCATACGATCAAAGTTTGGGTGCTTGGCAACTGGTGTGAATTTATAACAGTTCCGCTGTCCTGGATTCAGGTGATCACCATTTGTAACCTTCACTGATTGAACCTTCAAGAACCTACAAGATTCACTGTAGACTGTTCTCAGATTAGGGGTCAAAAATCAAGAGAGTGACACTAGCATTTAGGGGAAAGTTACAACATTTGTTTTAAATCAGATCTGCCTTCCAAACAAAGGGTGAGTGCTGTTAAAAAGGTCCTGTCTTTTACAGACAAAGTGAGAGTGAGTTTTGACAGATGTCTTGCTTTATCTGGGCAAGATATGCAACATCAAAACTACCTCCAAGCTTTGTTTCTGTTTTTACCTGTGCAAGCCCTCGGTGGGAAATTCTTGTGCTGTAAAGTTTGAAAATCCCTATGACATATAGATTAAAATAAAATTCTTAAACCTAAGTGGTATAATTATTTCTTGCATTGCCATAATACAATGAAACTGGTAGCTGGAAAAATTCATTTATCATTTTAGCTGGGAGATAACATCGGGATAACACTGAATCAGGTTTAAATTTTAAATATTTTGAGAGCTGGGGAGTACTATGAAGTAGAAATATCTAACTAACTCCAAATTTCAGGTGCATATTTATCTTTCAAGGTCCTTATAAGTTTTAAGAAAAATTGAGTACTGATTGCATATTCTCTATTAGTTCTTTTTTTAATGTCTAAGAAACTATGACATGTTTTGAAAAATAAACATAAAACATTATTTTTAGGTTTATGAAATTTGTCATTAGAGTTTTTACCACCGTCGGTGTCTTAAGGATATGAGAACAATGGTGCCTGTCCTACCTCAAACTATAAAGAAAGTGCTTCTTACTATCAACAGTGATGAACCCCTATTACTGAAAAATAAAAACGAAGCTTATTTTTATAACCTGTTTGCCATTATTTCATTTGTTCACAATGTTTGAAGTCCTATTTGAATAGTCAAGTTTCAGAAGAAACTTAGGTTTTAAATTCTGTCCAATTTCCCCCCCTAATTTATCCCCAAACTATTCTTCGAAATAGAAGGAACATTTATATTGTTATGCATATTATATTACATTACATTATATTATTATATTATATTATTGTATTATACATATATAATATAAAATTATCTAACTCTTTGAGTTCTAGAACATATGATTTAATATGCTTACTGAACTACACCATAGACCTGAATTTTCATTGGTAGCAATTCATATACCTGTGCCACATTCAGTGCTAGATGGCCACAGTTGGAATTCAAAAAAAGCTTCCAAATACTGATTTTTAAAAGCTCTAGAAAAGAAAACCATAGCTGAGCTGGCTCACAGGCAAAGCTTGAGAAATTTTGAAGATTTTGAGGATTGAATAGAATCATTGCTAGCGTGTTCTTCATCCCATACCTCAGACCATGTGTTTACAAATTATATTGAAAATGGAGTCTCTGTATATTTGGGGGAGGAGGTGTTTCACCAATTAATCAGGCTGTGGAAGAATTGCTAGAGAGAACATGTTGGAATTCTAAGTTTTAAGCTCAGGTAATCATTATTTCAAGATACATAACAACTGTATTCTGAGTCAAAAAGTTTCTCTAGTTTAAGGACTTCCTAGTTCCCTTGAATGATAATAAATAGCTTTTGGAGCCTTTGAACTCTTCCTTTTATGGGCTAAGACTCAGATGAAAAATACATGTTTTTTTCTTCTTCAGAGGCTAGTCAAATGCATACTGCAGAATTAAAGTTCTTTTTATCAACAACCAAACTAAAACTAAAAATTTAGTTTATTTCAGTATAATATCTCAAATTATTCAGTTGCTTTTGAGTTATAACAGTTATAATGTATTAAATTGTTATAATGTTTTAAATATTATATCATTGTCTTGTTTCTTTACAGGAGTCAGAAAACAATAAGTTATGTTCCTTATATTCCTTCCGAAATACTTCTACCTCACCACATAAGCCCGAAGAAAGTGGTCGTGATCGCAATGAGCTAATGACCAGTGTTAATTTTGGAACTCCAGAACGCCGCAAAGGAAGTCTTGCCGATGTGGTGGACACCTTGAAACAGAAGAAACTAGAGGAGATGACGAGAACTGAACAGGAGGGTATGTATGTATGTATGTGTGTATGTGTATGTGTATAAATATGCATGTACCTCTGTTTGTGTGTTTGTGTGTATTATGTTTGTCTGAATATATCCATACTCACTGGACCTGTGAAAGATTACACACCCACAAAGCCCTCCCCCCTCTCTTTCTCTGTACATACATTTTTACTGAGAAATTCATTAGACAATTTCTGATTGAGATTTGTGAACAAGAGACTAAATGACATGTTGATTGTCAGATATAATCTTATTTAATAGTGCAGGACTTCACTTAGTATATTTGTTTCATTCTATAATCTGTGCTTAATATTTGAAGAGATCTGGGCCAAGCGAAGAACAGATATTCTATATCGGAGTTTATCCAGTTTGCGGGGCAGGTTTCTCATATACCAATGAGAACTGTTTATAAAATGTTGCCATGAGCGTAATGATAAGCTTCCAAAAATTCAAAATGCCCTTAAATGAAGTGAGGGTTGTGAAGCTTTTGACAGCTATGGATAAACTATCACCAGAATATGATTTTGTACTTGAGTAAGTAGATTCTATTAATAATCTATATTGCAGTTTCTATGTTGTTGCTTTTTGGGTAGTAGTTCAGTTGTGAAACTCTGGATGATGATGAAGAAAAAAAACACTTGTGGCTAACATATTCCCCTTGGGACATACGTTTATAGTATCTTTAAAACATTGCTACAAATGACCCCAGGTAGAACTTCAGCCTTGTCATATTTCAGAATTGTTGGATTACAGATCAGGTAAACCACAGCCATCAAAGATGATTACGATGGAGTGGGATCCTGCACAAATAGAAACCATTAGGGAGAGACTTTTCTGATGTCTTTGGATCCTGTTCCGATCACAAGCTCAGGCCCATTGATTTTAATGGCAAGATTTGAAGTGATTCAGTATGTTTAAATTTTGCAGTTGAAAAAAAATGAAGCAGCAACTTTATAAGTAAGGGTAGACTGAACTATACACGGGAATAGATCTAAGACAGATTCTACATCTCTTTTTTGGCTTAGTTTATATGACAAACACATAGTTAAATATGTTCTGTATAGGTGTCTTAAACTTCACAACAGTGATAATTTCTCAGATTTTACACAGCCATCTGTCTTTAAATTTAATTTTGAAGTTCATGTTTAAGCTTTTTTCCCCAGCTAAGTTGCTGCCTTCATTTTGATGGCTAGATGATAAATGTTTTAACTTTATTTTTATATTTGGACTCAGCTTTTTTAAAGAACAGAATAAAACAGAGTATTCTTTATTGGCCAGGTGTGATTGGACATACAAGGAATTTGTCTCTGGTTCCTAATTTCTCAGTATACCTACAAGCAACAATGCGATAAATCATAAATCATAAGATACAAATAAATTATATGACACAGTGAACAAAGTGATAGTCATAAGATACCAACAGGAGAAGGTAATAGGAAAGATGAGAGGGATTAATAGTAATACAGGCCTGCTATGTGGTTAGATATCTTTAGGCATAAAACAGTGCTGTGGAAATTATATGTTTAGCAAAGTGATGGCATGACGGAAAAAACTATCTTTGTGTCTAGTTGTTTAGGCATGCAATGCTTTAGAGGAGCATCCTGAGGGGAGAAGAAACTTTTAAATTTCAAATTAAGCATCACATTGCTAAGATTTATTTCATTTTTGCAGTTAATGCATGGATTTGCAAGATTCATGTTTCAAATTTAAACAATATTTCATCTACCTCTTCCCCCCCTTAATATGTATTAATAACTTCCATGTGATTTCTCATATATGAATCAGCTATTTTCCTTTATTAACTTACTTGGACTTCAAATAATTTAGCCTACAATGCTGTATGGACCCACAATAAGTCCCATTTACAGCACTGACACTTAGTTTCTTTGAGACATTTCAAAAAGTCATTGATGAGGAAATGTTCCCATTTTAACATGCTGCATCAATTGTATTCTAATGAAAACTGATTCAGTAATCAATAATACAAAACATGTTTACATATTTATACATATAATTCTGAAAGTATTTAGTGTTTACTTCTTTCATTTTCATATTCTTGAGTGGATTCTTTAAATGAGAAAATTCAAATACCTATTTTGGAAAAAGACCCTGAATTTAGACCAAAGTACAGTAAGTAATGGCAGGATTCTCAGATATTATGCTTCAGATATTCAGATATTGTTAGTCTTTTTTCACTGAACAGGAAAAATATTTTAATTTCGTGGGCATATTTAGATACTGATTAATGTAAGATAACACAACTTTAATATACCCAAAATAACTGAGAAATTTAAAGTGTAATTAAACTAGAATAAACATCTTTCATTAGTTGAGTTTATAAATAACTATCCAATGTCTTGCACAGAATGGGGTATATATATACATATATATACAAACTTGCCATTTCGTATGCAGCCCTTGCTTTCAGTTGATTTATATGTGCCTAAAAGTTAATTGTTCAGCAACTAGTTTCAAGTTCAGCTCGAAATAGTTGAAACTGTTAGTTTCAGCAAGAATTCACATTTCTTTAAAGCTGATACGACCATGTCCTTAAGTTCTGCATTTCCCATATTATATGTATAAATTCAGGCCTCAATGATTGATACGACAGCTAGTAGAACATATCTGATTACAATGAACTAATTTTGATTATGATATTAAATTAGCAATATCATAAAATGGACATGGAGATAGCCAGACAAACTTAATGGACATACATGACTTGAGAATTAATTAAGTGTGGGCAGCCACTCAAATTTTGTCAGTGCCTCAAGATAGACCAGGTCAAGAAACATGCACAACAGGCATTGCAAGAATAGGGTGAAATAACAAATTGTAAAAGCCTGATAAAATTTATCTCCATCCCTCTTTCTTATACTAAATAGAATCAAGCTAGGTTATTTTGAGTTTATTTTGACCATTAAAGCCAACATCTTTAACACATTCTTCGGCTCAGTATTTGTAAACAGCAATGGATCATGCCCAGTATTTCCTAGCCGTACCACAGATAACAACAATGATCTAATACATATCGATTTCACAGAAGACAATGTTGAAAAAGCACTACGCAACCTAAAACCATCTCTATCTATTGGACCGGATGGAATATGTGCCTACTTCTTAAGAAAGCTATCCACTGCCATAGCCAAACCTCTAAGCATAATCTTTGAAAAATCTTTCAGAACCAGCTCCTTGCCTAACCTATGGTCACAAGCCACAGTCATCCCCATCTTCAAAAAGGGAGACCCAAGCCTAGTTGAAAATTACAGGCCAATCTCCTTATGCTGCGTCACCTGTAAAGTCATGGAATCAATTATTAACCAATCCATCATCCTTCACTTAGAGACAAATAACCTACTCTCCAATAAACAATTTGGTTTCAGAAAAAAACTATCCTGTAATCTGCAACTCTTACACTGAAAAAACATATGGACGACACAACTCGACCAGGGCAAAGCAATAGATGCAATCTACATAGACTTCTGTAAAGCCTTTGATTCAGTGGTACACGACAAACTACTCCTAAAAATAAAATCCTATGGTATCTCTGGACAACTGAATAACTGGATAGAAGCATTCCTGTCAAACAGACAACAAATGGTCAAAATCGGGAGCGTACTATCAAATCCAGTACCTGTCGATAGTGGTGTTCCCCAAGGCAGTGTTCTAGGACCAACTCTCTTCATACTCTACATAAACGACCTCTGTGATCATATTAAGAGCAATTGCGTTCTCTTCGCTGATGATGTAAAGCTGTTCAATACCACAGACAATACTGCTACCCTACAAAAAGATCTTGACTATGTATCAGAGTGGTCAAACAAATGGCAACTTCAAATCTCAACAAATAAATGCTCTGTCTTACATATTGGCAAAAAAAATCAGAAAATAAAATACAAGCTGAATAGTCAAGATCTTGTTGATGACTCAAGCTCTGTAAAGGACCTTGGAATACTCACCTGTAATGATCTAAGTGCTAGAGCCCACTGCAACTACATAGCCAAAAAGGCATTAAGAGTTGTTAACCTAATCCTACGTAGCTTTTTCTCTGGTAATATCACACTACTAACCAGAGCATACAAAACATTTGCTAGACCAATACTCGAATACAGTTCATCAGTCTGGAACCCACACTACGTATCTGATATTAGCACAATTGAGAAAGTCCAGAAATATTTCACAAGAAGAGTTCTCCACTCCTCTACTCGTTGTAGAATACCTTATGCCACCAGACTTGAAATTCTAGAACTTGAAAACCTTGAATTACGCCGTCTTCGGTCTGACTTAAGCATGGTATATAAAATCATACATTGCAATGTCCTACCTGTCAATGAATACTTCAGCTTCAACCATAACAACACAAGAGCACACAATAGATACAAACTCAAAGTAAACCGCACCAAACTTGATTGCAGGAAATACGACTTCAGCAATAGAGTGGTCAATGTCTGGAATACTCTACCCGACTCTGTGGTTTCTTCCCCAAACCCCAAAAACTTTAACCTTAGACTGTCTACTATTGACCTCACCCCTTTCCTAAGAGGTCTGTAGGGGGCGTGCATAAGCGCACCAACGTGCCTACCGTCCCTGTCCTATTGTTTCTCTTATTCTTTTATTTTTCTTATATGTACCCATTTCATGTATTCACAACTATGTATACATTTATACTTATTATCTTGTAAACAATTGGCAAATCAAATAAATAAATAAATAAATAAATAAATAAAATGGACATGGAGATAGCCAGACAAACTTAATGGACATACATGACTTGAGAATTAATTAAGTGTGGGCAGCCACTCAAATTTTGTCAGTGCCTCAAGATAGACCAGGTCAAGAAACATGCACAACAGGCATTGCAAGAATAGGGTGAAATAACAAATTGTAAAAGCCTGATAAAATTTATCTCCATCCCTCTTTCTTATACTAAATAGAATCAAGCTAGGTTATTCTGAGTTACTTTCTTAAGCTTACTTTTTCCTCAGGTCTGAATATTTTTTT